TTTTTATTATGCTAATATAGCTAGACAGTGTATTTATTCCTTTCAACTTGATAAACAGCGTATCTTTAAACCATATTGTCAAAACGTTTCACATACATAGCTAAAACCTATTTTGAATGAATTTTAATATTTGTTACAAAGTAGGACAATTTAGTTAAAGTTGGTCTGTGAGCAATACTTAAAAAATAGCACCGCAGAACTTTGAAAAAGTAGTTAATGAAGGTTTCAATATAGTTTCATATAATTTTATATTCATAAACATACATGACAAGGGTGAAAATCATATGAATTTAATCCTCAATCTCTCCAAAATATCTAAATGTAGTATAAACCATAATATACTTTTACTTTAATTTGACTAGAAAGGAATTTGAATATAATGCTAAAAAATACGTATACAGTATATCATCTTGCTGACAAAAAACTAGAATTGTGAATATATATCTGGCGATCAAATCTCGAGAATACAAATCTTATTATAACTGAGCTATAAGGTTCCATTATGGGACCACTTCTATTTTTTAAATGCTATCCAATAAAATCCATACACTAATATGTAGACTTGTATTGCATTCTGAAATGATCTGCCATAATATGGAACACTTAAATATTTATACTTATAGCATCAAAACACTTTCAAACTCAAGTTTGCGAGGATGCGTTTTTGCAAAAAAGGACCATAGTTGTATTTAAATCCACCTCCTTATTACAGTGGATGTGAAAGTTTGCAAGAGTGGATAAACTTTCCTTTTACATACTGGTCCGGGTGAATACATGTGAGGAGTCTTCTCAGGGCGCTGATCGATCTCTCACACTCGCACAATGTGACAGGAACGGTGCACGCGATCTTCATCTTTGAATATATGTTGGTGAAAGCAGTCTTCTTACAGTGTTTGATGGCAAAGGCGCATGATGAGGGTTTCTCTTTGTTGTCTTTTCAAGAAGAAGACATCCACTTTCCTCTTCATCTGACCAGCTCCTGCTCAATGAGCTCTGGTGAAGGCAGATCATTCCAATATGTAGTGACCGCTAATGAAATGTCAATCATTTGTTCACGTAGAACAGAGGGCACCAGGCCCAGGATGATGGTGCGTACATGGGCTAATCCTGCAAAGAAATCAAAAACAAAACACATTTAAGGGGTTTGCGCAACAATGATACATAAAGTTAACAAGTATCACGTATAATACAGACCAAGAGGAAACTGTAGTGAATATTGGTGACCAAAGAGCTTATTTATTTTTATAATTTATACACAACAATTTTACACATAATTTGACATTACTTAAGTTTACCAACAATAATCTGTGCGATGAATAGTTAGTTTAATAGGTTATTACTTATTGAAATATTTAATATTGATTTCCTTATCTAATTTGAAAATCTTGCCTCAAAATTGGTAATGATTTGATTCACAAAAGGCAGTGCAATATTAACGCGATAGTGATCTTTGATGGATGAGACAGGACAGTTGGCTCTGTGTCGTGTCGTCCACGAGATCCTCGGATGACTAGGCTCATTTGTTTGTTTGTAATTATGCACAAAGCTACACAATGAGCTATCGGCGCTCTGCCCACCACGGGTATCGAAACCTGGATTCTAGTGTTGTAAGTCCGCACACATACTGGTGTGCCACTGGGGAGCGACTAGGCTCAACACTAACACTCTCTGCCATACGAATTGCGTGATAATACATGTGGTCGAACACTTCATCAAAGTTTTCACGTATTCCAGAGTATGTGGCTTTTACTTCATCGATCTGAATAACATGGATCTTTCAACATGAAAAAGGATCTTTCAACGAGTAAAGCAACATATTATTATAATTATCAATACTTTTCCTTTATGCCGTCATTAAAAATATTATTTACTACTTTAAATAATGCCATGAAATAGATATAAATATGTATATATATATATACATATATACACATTCAAACACACCTTCATATATATACAAATACGCATTAAAACACCGTATAAACATAAATACATACCAATACATGACATATTTTATACACATACATATACATAAATATGATACATATAATTATATATACTGATATCTGTAAAATTGACTTCAAACATGATGTCAATGGAAGATTTATGCAGTCCAACAGTGATTCCTTCCATATGAGATAATAGGTTGTACACAGTAAGGAAGGTGAATACAAAGTCAAATGATATCACAGAAGCTAGAGGTCCCTGTGCTTCCATCTTTGCCTTTGGATCCCACTTTGTTTGTGTGAAGATTTTTTCGTAGTCATCTCTGTGCAGATGTATGCAATAACTTCAAGGGCCTTCGCCACACACACGTAAGACGTGTAGAAATGGCTGTAGCTGTTATGCCTGGCTGCTCAGCGGGTTCTACACATATCAATAAGTGGCTTCCTCTCTGATACAGGGGGATGCTCGGCATGTGTAATATTTTGTAAAAGTAAACCATTCTTTAGCCATTCGAAGAAATGACCAACTGATTTAAATTTGTCTACTGCATTTTTCAAATTTGAAATGCTGCATGACGAAGCAATGACAAGATTGGGCTTATGGCTAGAGCAGTGAACATAAGCTGCTAATTCACACTCTCTTCTTACATACATTTGAACACCAGCAGCTGCACATATGACATATATGAAGCGCTATCATAGCCTTGAACAAGACAATTTTTAATGTCCAGTCCAAGCTTCTCTATAGTGCGTAAAATCTCGCGTCTCATACTCTCCAGTGAGTCTGCTGCTGGAATCACAGAACTGAAGAAACTCCTCTCAAATGTTGTCCTTCTCATCAACGAAGCAGATGCACAGGGGCATTAGCTTTGGTTTGAATGACGAAGATTCATCTGCAAATATGGAGAAAAATTATGCTTCCTTGAAGTAAGTTATAACCAACTTTTGTAGTATGTGTATACCAATAATGTCAATCATTTCATTTTGTGTTGATGGTGATTGGTATGTCGCATTCTTCAGTTTGAGCTTCTCCAAATGAGAGCAATAAGATCATGCTAGGCTATAAGCTTCATCAGTACCATTGTTGCCTCTCAGTGCTATACATTGTCAACCACAATACAGGACTGCCACTGTAACGCACTTTAAAATATAATGATTTGTCTTTATGTTGTCTGATTCTTCTTGTTTAGCGTCACAGTAACATATTGCCCAAGATTTTCTATCAAATGAATAAAAGCCATAGTAGCTTCCTCTATCAGTCTATGATGTTCCTTGATGACACGTTGGTCACATTTGCCTGATTTTATTTTGCCACTCAATGAAAGGCCTGTTAACAAGGTCTCCATACTTTTTCGTTCTTCAGTGTTGACAAAGAGAATACAGAAAATGCAGAATGCACCATCGACGTTAGGGCTGTACACCATCCATAGTAAAAATGTCAACCATTCGTGCCTAAACCTTTTGTAGCATTCCTCCAATTTTACAGCTGATTGGGAGAATACTTGACCAGGAATAGTTTGTTAAGGGTGCTTCAGTAAGAAATATTTCTTTCCATTGCTTATCCCTGATATACCATTCGATATTTCTTCAGTGGACATAACAGTATCTGTAAAATGTCTAAAACCATCACCCAATTCCTTATCTGAAATAAAGGAATCGTTAGTTACGTTGGGGCATAGCAGAGTGCATGTATTGGGGATTACCTATAAATTAAAGTGTACCCTTATATAGTTGCGCATGTCAGTGACAGTGTCATTTTAGCTTTTGGAAACCCGTATCTATTATCTATAATATATATTTAACATCGTAACAAATGTTTGGAAATAGCCTATTTAATTCTAAGTTTGAATATTACATAATTTTATTTAAATTTTAAAATGTACATCTTAATACATTAAATTCTCTAATTGGTGTGAAAATGATACTTATGAATGCAGGTTTCACAACATTTTATTAGCTAGCGGGCCTCCTAGCCTTTTAATGAGTGATGCACACACCAGCATTAGGCAATAGTATTAATATGCAATGTCTAACTGCTGCAGTAGGGGTATAGGAAAAAGCAAACGTTAAGCTAAAGTTTTAGTGCCACTAGTTATCTGATTAAACGAGAACGAAAGTAAGAGGTGTAATATAAAAATTCCATGAAAATGTGACAGTTGCTCACAGACCTAAGTTATATTAAACTTTACAGCCACAATTGACCACCCCTTTTAAAAAAGGGTAGGTATACTAATACAACAGGCATTGATCAAAATAAATGCAAGACTGCTGCTTATATTACTCATTCCATGCAGAACGTTATTAATAATTATTATAATTTAGTGCGCCAATATCACGTGCACAGCACCTCTCAAAGGTGCATTAATATGCAAAAGAGAAGCCTGATTCTCTTCCCTGATAAGCTTAGGTCTTACATTAAAATGGTTTGAGTGTGTGTTTATCTTATAGCAAATATACAACAGGCTATCTGCTATGTCCACCGAGGGGTATCAACTCCCTGATTTTTTAGCTTTATAAATCCATAGACTTACCGCTATCCCACCAGAGGATAAAATGGTTTGAGTTGGCTTCTTAAAATTGAAACAGTTTCGATATATTTATCTCTTTTTCACTTGGTGGAATGACCAATAGTAAAATCCACGGCTTAGGTTTTCATTTTTAAGCGCCGCATACTATTTTTATACAAACATTTTTAATTAATAAGAGAATAGTGTTAAATACTACTACCATTCATAAATAAATTCATGTGACACGTTTTAGAAAATTAAATCACGTTATTCTAGAAGCAGAATAAGTAGAAAAAAAAAGAAGTTTAGAAGTACAAATGACTAATTTATTTTATTTTTCCACAGACCTCATCTATCTATCTTGTTAGTCCTTTTCTTGAGAGTGTGGGCTGAATTAGTAGATTTGCCGAAATAACAATAATCTATAATCCTTTTTACGGACAAGCTAAGTTCACTTCCTGCTGCAAATTGTAAGGCTTCTTTGTTCTGACGTCATCATGTTGTTTAAATAAAAACCCACAAAGAGGCGCTGTCATCGTTAAGACAACTGTCACAGCTGAGAAGGAAGGAGATGGACGAGTGAGTTGTTGTGGTCGATAGTGTTGCTGTTAGCAGAAGATATACTGCTGTTTAGTACCATATTGATTCACAGGAACGTTATCTTAATACTATTCCGTATACGTTACTTTGATTGATTGAGTATCATCTGAAATCGTATATATTAACTGTAAAAATCAGATTTTATAATTTGTGAAACATGTTCTTTGAAAAGTATTACAAAGACGCATTACTTAAATATAAATTAATAGTATAATTAACAACTGAAAGTTGAAACAAAAAATATTTAAGGAATTTAGCTTAAGTTTTCCATTGACACTAAATAGTAAATGACAATATTGTTTAATGTGTGTAGATACTTTTACTTATTATTACTATAGGTACGGTATTAATACTGAACGATTTTAGAATAGTAGCAGCATTATTTTGTATGTTACAAATTCTAAGAGCAGTATAGTATGATTAATAATTATATAGTTCAGTAACCTAATAGTAATACAGCATATATATAGTTTAGAGTAACTATATTTGTTACACTTAGTGTTGGGAAGTTTAATAATTACTTCACTTGTGAATAACATTATTTGTTACTTATGTTAACAACTTAGTTTAATTTTACTTGAACATTAAACTAGATTTAAGACTAAAATTAGGAAAATCATATAGAGAGTTGCATAAAAAATTTTTTTCAGGTTTTGAATTTTTCTTTTTTGTCAAAGTTACCAGGTGTTATTCTCTTCTGATAAATATATACATATACATACTTTGTGTACTTTTTACAATGTTGGTTCAAAGTGTGCCATATTACTTGAACTGTAAGGTGAGTTGATAAAAATGAAGAATCAGCCCACCAACAGCATCGAAACCTCCTCTACAGGGACAGCAGATAACACTACCCATGCCAACAG